CATCAGAATCGGGACATGACCCTGCAGCCCAGGACGAGGGATGAGCTTCAATCTCAAGTTGGCGCTCTTGAGCGGAATTACCTTCTCGACGGACGGCGTCTGCCAGGCGAAGACCACGACGTGGTCTATGAACGAGGCACTCCGCGCGCCGTGGTAGGTGGGCCCCACATCGAAGTCGCTGGTCACACTCCGCAGGGCGAACCTCTCCATCAGCTCCAGCATCTTGTCACCAGCGTAGTGCTGTAGTTGGCGACCGTGCGGGCCCAGCGCCGACCAGGTCACCTGCTCGTAGATCTGTTGCCCGCACTGGCGTATGCCGAGCCTACCGTTGAAGTCGAACCCGAAGAACAGAGCCGGCCGCCCTCGCGCCCACGTCAGCGTCTTCTCGATCCAGTCGCAGAGCGCGTCGACGGTACGCCTGTATGCCAGGTGCTGGGTGCCAGTGGGCGCGGACTCTCGGGCTGAGCGTCGAGCCGACGGTCTCGGCGGGAAATATACCGTCGGCGCAAGGATGTCGAGCCGTCCGCTCCTCAGGCGTGCGGGGGCGACCCGGCCTCTCAACAACTCTGGCACAGGAGGGGTGTCCAATAGATGGGGAGATCGAAACACACGTCTGCGAAGAAGGATAGTACAGCCGCAACTCTTGTTCGCGTGGGGGCTGGGACTCCAGCCTGACCGAAGAGCAGTGTGGTAGGGCAGCGTCGTCCGAATGGTATCGACATCTCCTCTCCGCTCGCCCGTACCGCTCAGACATATTGCATCAACGTAGCGAAATTTAGCAGAGATATTATACAGCCTCTCATCCGAGCTGGCGTTCTGAGCGTTCCAATGAATGAACTTCATCTCTGGGAGAGCGACAAGCCATGGCCAGAAACTCCAGAGTATCAGTAGCAGCGACAGCGCCAAGCGCGACAGCCGCCGCCGCAACATCGCAAGAGGAGGGCGCGCCATTCCTGACGCGGGGTATGAATGCGCATCCTCGGCGCGGCCGCCCCTGAAACACCGACCTCGGGCAGAGGGGGCTGGCACGTGGGTAGGAGGAGGAGGAGGAGGAGCAGGAGGAGGAGGAGGAGGAGGAGGAGGAGGAGGAGGAAGGGGAGGAGGAGGAGGGGGATGATGATAATAATGATAATGATGATGATGCTGCTGCTGCTGATGATGATGATGATGATCATGGTGATGGTGATGGTGATGGTGATGGTGATGATGCTGATGATGGTGGTGATGATGATCGGGTGGTGATGATGATAATGCTGATGATGATGATGACGACGACGAGGATGCTGATGAGGAGGAGGAGAAGGAGGAGGAGGAGGAGGAGGAGGAGGAGGTGGTGGAGCTTGCGCCGTGGATAAGGTGAGGCCTCGAGCAGGATGAGGAGGATGAGGAGCATGAAGAGGAGGAGGAGGAGGAGGAGGAGGAGGAGGAGGAGGAGGAGGAGGAGGAGGTAGGAGGAGCAGGAGGAGCAGGAGGGAGGAGGAGGAGGAGGAGGAGGAGGAGGATCGGGCAATGCCAAGGGGGATCACCACTAGGAGCGGTCACCACTTCCTTCGTGGACCTCAGGACGAAGAAGGGGAAGAGGACACACTAGGGAAGGATAACGAATGGCATTATTATGAGGACGAGTCGGACAAGACAACGAGGAGACAACCGCCATTTTGTATTCTTTACCTTCCTGCCCTTCCGCCGCGACATCTGCCTACATACCAAACTTCAAGGACCAAGGTGCGTGGCGCGAAGTGTCAGCGCAGTCATTTATATATATATATACACATATACACACATATATATATACATATACATATATATATGCCAGACTACATTGGCGCTTAGCGCCATGCGCCTTGTTCTGGACGCTTCCCCAGCAAAACAATAACTAATCGTTTGCTTCAGCAGGGGGGCCTTGATGCCTGGACGGGCGACCGGTTCATTTTTCTGATATCCCTGGAGCTTGCTGACACCGAATTCGCCCGATGCGTTTGCACGCTTGTGCGCAGGATCAGGGAAGGAATGATGTTTTTTTGTTTTCACGCGCGAAGGTCCTTTGAGGAAGTACGGAGCGTTCCCATGACACGCCGAAGAAGTCGCAGTAGCTCCAAACAAATCGCTTTTTGGTCGCTTCCTGAATGCCTGGGGGGCCCCAAGAACTCAGGAACTCTTCGATCGTCGAACTTCGAATCTAGATCCATTGCCTGTCCCTCTCGATCGAGGAATTGCGACCTCGAGCCTCAAGCGTGGAACCAAGATCGTCGGGTCAGCTCGATGTACTTCGAAGGAGAACGCCGTCTGGGCGTTTTTGGGGTTCGGGTTTCCTGGGGCCCTCCTGGGCCGTCCTGAGGCCTTCTTGGGCCGTCTTGAGGAGCTGCGGCCCTCCAGATGTCTTCTGAAACCATTTGCAAACCCCGTCAAAAATAAACAGAAGATTTCTAAAATTTGTGATTGTGGGGTCAGCGCTACACCAATGCTGACGGATTCCTGTTGACCCGGACGCGGTGTTGTC